ACTCATAAAAATGATCTTCTGTTAGATATATATTATATATTTTTCAGAGATAGGAACAAGTATTGGTAAGATGGAACTTTGATCTCTTGTTATCTAAGTAATCAAAACCAAAGTGCAACAATAGGCAAATTAGATTCATATACTATCAGCACCACTAAGATGTATCTTCTCTAAGACATTTTCGATTTCTGTCTCCAAATTGTAAGATGTGCCTAAGTGTTGTACTGCATCAATCAAACACAGTTTCTTCGAAGGATCAATTAAAAAATAACGTGTAAGGTGCAAATATGAGGTTTAACCCTAAAAAATAAAGCAAATAAACCCTTAGACCATAGGGATCATAGCACATTAGCCCCTCGTTAATAGTGTTAATTGTTTTTGTTAAATTTAGTTGAACTGTTAGTTAAGTAAATGTTAATCCTTTAACATGGTTGCAATAGGAAAGTGATTAATTCCAATTTGGTCTCTAAAATTAGTTAAATTTGAAATAGACATGGTCGCTAAACTTCAAGTGTTCTACTAAAATCTATCAAGTATTTTTCTAGTAAATTTGATTATTCTTACCTTTCCATAAATACTTTTACTAGTTCCTCTCTTGAATTCAAGTATTTTGCCCAACCCAAACCATCTGGATCTTTCCCCGTCTTCATGTTCAACAGCGCCAACTTCAACCTATCTCCCGATCTGATCTCTATTGCCGAGTTTTTCATTTTTAGTCATCACCAAGAACTTCTCATCAAGGTACGCCTACACAACTAAATCAATTTTGTTGAAGTCATGCAAACAACACCTAATGATGGATTTTGTTCTTTTTTATTGTACCGTGTAAAATCTGATTGCAAACCTTCCACAACTCGAAGGCACCAGCTATTGCGGTTAACAATGAATTTTACGTAGCCTCAACATGTAGTGCGGACGAATTAGGGTGGCTGTCATTGTACGGTTACTTGCACGTGTCCTAGGAGTTGTGCGTTAGTAATTTCTCAATAATAGTATAGCCATCGCCGTCAAGTTCTTTCTTTTCCCTCAAACAACATATAATCATGAACAAAATTAGTGGCTCTGAAATCAGTTATGTTAATACCATAGTTCTCACCCATAGTTTCTTCGCCACATACTATTCGGCTGGGAATCGGAACTCTCGTGGCCCTTAATTAGTTGTTTCCAAATTAACAAATAGTCAAATCAAAGTCTAACTAGCCTCGTATGGGTGGTTCCAACTCTTCCGCAAATCGATTGCCTATTTTTCCAAAAAACAAAAAAAAGGCTCTTCCGCAAAACCTCTGTAGCTGCTAAATCTCCTCAAATATTATTTGTTCTTTTTCTTTGCAAGTGTTTTTAACTCCCTAGGAATTGTGTGTTGGGATTTTCTCGAGAATTGTACAGCTGCCGCTATCTATTTTTTTCTTTTCCCTCAAACAACACATGGCATGATTATGAACAAAAATTATAGTGGCTCTGAAATCAATCAAGTCCTCAGCTTTTTTTTTCCTTTTTTTTTTTTGAAGAAGAGTCACGTCCTTACCATATTTCTCATCCATAATTTCGCCACATACTATTGATGCAAGAAATCAACATCCACCTACACATAAAACATTCTTTGGCCATCGAAGTTCCTTGAAGCTGTTCTTGAACTTTTTAACCATGCATGCACGACCATTATTAGCACATAGAATAGAAGCATGAGGTAATTAACCACTAGCAAGTCATATGGTAAATTGGTACGTAATTAATGATTAATTATATATCAAACTATATATAAGTCAGATGATCAATTGGCAATTAAGGATTAATTATATATCAAATTATATATGCTTACTCCAAACTATGTCAACTTGTTCAAACACATTTTCTAAAGTTAAGTACAAAGCTTCATAAAACACTATATTAGTTAGGTTAAATATCCTTTTTGGTCCCTCTACTATAGGAAAAAGCCCCTTTTTAGTTCCTGTACCAAAAAAATCCCCTTTTTGGTCCTTACTGTTCACAAATCCGGCCCCTTTTTAGTCCTTCCGTTAAATTTTGCTCATGTGGCACGTTAACTTAACTGAAACAGCTGACGTGGGTATGCCAATGTGTAAATTTTGCTCACGTGGCACGTTAAATTTTTCCACATCACCTCCCACGTCACTCTCCACTTCCTCCGGCCTTTTTTTTTTTTCCTTTTTTCCCTTTTACCCCCAAGCGAACCCAAGAGCCTGGGTTCGCGAGGAACCCAGCTCGCAGGTTCGCCATGAACCCAGGAGCCTGGGT